CTTCGCAAGACTTGAGTCTGCAGGGGGATAGCAGGCAGCCAGGTTGCACCTCTTCCTTTTGGGCTTGCTCCAGCCCAGCCTGGCCCGCCCCCTTCCCCCACCCGTGCCTCCTTTCTTCTTTGTGCAGACACTTTCCGTTCCCCGCACCGTGTATCTCGGGGGCTCCGCCACACACCCAGATCCTCCCCCAGTAAATTGGATTAACGGCTCCGCTGATAGGGACGGGCGGTGGCGGTAACGGCCGCGTCGCCCCGGATCTTTCCGCTCGTGCCGTATGTCACGTTTATGCCATGTGTGCGCCGGCTCAGCCCTGCCTCTTTTATGTGACACTTTATGGCAGAAGATGCATGCCCAGCTCGGGGCGTGCGTGGCGACGCCCCCACGGCACGCGGTTCAGCGGCGGTTTCGACATGGGTTTGCGTCGTGTGTCTCAGTGGTGTTTCTCTAGCCTTGTTCGTCACTCACGGTTCTCAGTCTGCTACTCTGTGGAATGAGAGTGCTCTGGTATTTGGGGGTTTGCGTGTCTGACGTGCATCGCTGACTCTGCTGTACCCGGATGAGAATGAGGGTGTCCCTCTCACATGCTGCTCTGCAAAAGAGCTGTGGTTGTTCCTTGTTATTCATTCCATTTTTAGCGTCTGTGTCTGCACACGCTCACTCTTTTGCCATTTCCGTTCTCCCAGTTCAAGTGTTTGCCACATCTAAATAAATGAATTGGTTTCTTCTTCAGATATTTTTCATTTATGGATGTTCAGTTGGTAGAGGAATGTATTTATGAAGTGCTGCTCATTTTGTAAAATCTATTTTCCATGATGAATAGTTAATGTTTACTGTTTAGTAGGAAATCGATGTCGTATTTTTGTTGCAGTGCATCATAGCGTGTCATGCCGTGTTGTGTGGGATGGGTGCAGAAAGAGCCGAGTTGTGAGAAGTAGATTCCTGGCAGAGCTTGACCTCAGTTACTGCTGTGGTCCTTCTTTCAGGGGCTAGTTGGGATTGGGGGGGGGGGGGGGGTCCATGCATCAGTTTGTCATCCACTAAATGGGGTCGCGGCAGCTTCGTAATTGAATTGTGTAATGGGTGTAATTCACCGTGTGTTGCAGAGTATCTTCAGATCTGCAGATTTGAATCTCCTGTAATAAGCCTAAAAAGAATGGTCTGATTCTCCATTTGCTCTTGTGCTGAGCACTGAATGGGCTGCTGCTGGTGTCTCAGGCTCAGGACTGCTGTTAATGCTGAGTTATGGAATCGGGCTTCATGCAGCCAGCAGAATTGTGTCCCAGCTCCATCTTTTTTCAGTCAGAGACCTGCTATCAGAGCGGTATCTCCCCACAGGAAGGGACTGTCCCACCAATGCCGCCAGCCTGATGATGGGAGAGATGCTTGGCAGTTCGCAGTGGTTGGTGGGTCTGCAAATGGCCACTCGCATTTCACGAATAGTTGAACATCCACAGGGAAAGCTTCACCCTAACAGGGTCCCTGTCACACTGCTCTCGGGATGGATGTTGCTGGGCACTGCTGGTTCTGTCTGTCCCGGTAATATATCTTTGACAGGCTGGCGACTTGTACTCTGCTCCCGTTTGGTGCTCGGGCCCAGTCTCGTGTGATGGGGCTCGCTGTTAATCATCAGTACTAATGGCTACCGCTGGGTTATTAATGCCGCTGGGAGAGAAAGTGCGGAGGCCGAGATAAGTACCTGTCATCCGCCAGGTTAGCCATTTAGGGGGATCCGGGGTCTGTGTGGGGGGGGGGGCATGGGGCGGGCGAGCGGGGTAACACATCATGGAAGTGGCTTTGTCTTACAGGCGATTTAACGTTGCTGTGCGAAATACAACAGCCCTAAATCTCCGTGCCGAGCAGCAGTCAGGCTCCTGTTTTGTTAACAGCCCGCTGAAGCTCAAAACGCAGTGCGGAAAGATATTTTAAAGACGTGTGTTTCTTCCCCCCCCTTAACGGCGACACGCAGACCATTAGTCAGCTGGCACTGTACAGTAGCGCTTAGCGTCGCAGAGTGTATCCGTCAATGTAAACGGACATGCTGATGCGGCCTGGCTCCCAGGCCCACGGTACCGTGTTCCCCGCCTCCCTTTGTCAGGGCTTCGTTCGCCGTGAGTCACAAGACTGCAGCCATCTTGTTCTACCTCCAGTATTTAATGACACAGAATGGCTCTTGACGTTCTATCTCCCTTGTATTTAGTGGGAAGAACAAGTGTATAACCCCGTCTCTGGCTTACTGTGAAACAAATCCAAATATGTATCTAATACATAAAACAAACAGAACAAAAGAGCAGGTGTTAATGTCATCCTGCCAGACGGCGTGAGACAGGCCCTGACATCAATTAACACCATTTGCAAACACGGCCGCTCTCTGATAACATCTCTGCGAAGTTTGAGGTGCCCCCCCCCAGGTGGCCGCTTGACTCCGCATCTCCAGATTATCCATTATTTCCAAGTTGAGCGAATCCTGGAGACTAAAGTTAATTTTCTGAAATAAGGCTTCTTATTAGGCCGGTCCTTCGCTTGCACTGACAGACCGGGCTCTGTGAAGGAGTCACATGCCGGCTCTGGGGGTGTTGGGATGGGGGGGGGCTCCTAATCTCAGCCCACGAGCCCCTGCTCTGCCGTGTGGGGGTGTCAATGTCAGGGACAGCCTCGGAAGGACTTTCTATCATAACGGTACACAGTAGGAACGCCGCTCCCTCGTTTTTAATTTGAAGACGTGGTTGTTAACTATTCATCAGTCTGCCCCCCCCGACGAGGGACCGGTTTCTGAAGGCTTAGTCGCTGCTGTGCTGTTAGCCCGTTTGCTGTGAGCTCATTGGGGGGGGGGGGGGGGGGGGGGGGGGGGAGGGGCGGGGTGGTGTCTGATACCTCATCCAGTGGCAGTTATGTTTTTGTAAACTGTTTTCTTTAATTATGAGCTTTTGCTGTCCTGCTGAGTCGGATTTGATGTGGAAGTGGGGAAATAAAGTGGTGATACTGGAAATGGCAAATGAAAGTGCCAAACAGTCTGGTTCCACACACCACACCCCGGACTCTGCGTGTGCCATCCAATCAATTTGTATCTATTTATTTATCTTTTTTGTGCAATATTTATTGTACATATAATCATATTCACCCACTTCTGTATGTTCTACATAAAAATAAGTATAAATCATTTTATGTGATACTGTGTGTTATCTGTTTTTGTATTTTGTGTAGCTGTGTACCGTAGAGTCTAATTATTTCCTCTGGGATAATGAAAGTTTTCTGATTCTGATACTGATTCTTAGCATCTGAGAGCTGGAAGTAAATACGGCTGGACTCCTAACCGCAGCTCTTTTTGTCATCCTAATACCATCGCAGGCTCACACTGATCAGTCGCTGTCACGGCCAGAGCTTAGGAAGACTGCAAAAAGGGATCCATCATTGCCCTAAATTTCCAAAATGTGATCTAACTTCGTCTACAATGTGCCAGGAGTGGCCTGAGAAGACAAGTAATGGGCTTTTACGTGGGATTTAGATGGTGGGGCTGTGCTTTCACTCCAGACGGAGTTATGGACCCGAAAAGGCATCTCCAGCTGACTCATAACAAGCGGAGGCTGCTCTTACACCTAAAAGGCCCTTCATCATGCGTCCTGCTTTTGTCATCAATATTTTTATTTTGGGGCCTGTTTTATATGCCATTAAAGAACATTACGATGAGCGCACTGTTTCTTGTGAGCCGTTTCCTCCCCACTTACTGTCAGTCTAATCCAGGTGAGGCGGGGGTGTCGCGGGGGTGTATCGGGGGTGTATCGCGGGAAGCCCTCGCCGTAACTCTGCCCCGGACTCTAATTTAGTGTCCGTGCCATGAGGATCAGATTGGTACACGTGCAGCACTTCAGCACGTCTGGGTCCCAATGTGACCTGAGCCGGCAGTCTGGTGTGGTGCTGACCACCCCCAGGGAGAGGGGGTGATAGTACGCCCTTCCACGAAGTTAGTCTGTAGGAATGACAGCTTGTCCCGGCTTTCTGGAGTCTGTCCTGGAAGCTCTGTGGATGCACATGTAGATGCAGAGAATAACAGACACCAGAACACTGCTGCATATCCATTTCTGTAAACACTTATCAATTTTTAATCATAATTAGTTTCCTCCTTTATTGTGGCAATACAACAGATGGTGTGAACCAAACTGCTTTAAAAGTGATATTTTCACAATGTCTGTAATGCTTATTGCAAAATGATAGCACATTCTTCGAAGGCAGATTATAAAGTTCTGCCAATTTACTGACGTGTTTGTTACCCAAAAACAGAAATATTGCTGTCAGTAATCGGTAGTTTAAGGCAGCTGCCATTTTGTTATATGCCTGAATGTATTTTTTGTGTCTTTGATAACATGCACTAATGCTTAAGAAGTTTTTTTTTTTTTTTTTTTTTTTTTTTTGCTGATCTTGGTTGATATTAAAATGTCAGTGCAAGTTTTGAAAATCTGTTATGGAAATACTGCAGCTAAATTGTATCTGAACTGTTGATGAAATTGATATTTCCATATATGCTAAGAGAAAAAAAAAGTTAAACATCTGTAAATGACGGGTTCTTACTAGTACACTGAAAGCTCACATTTGGATTTTGCCTTTAGGCAACCATGCTGAACACGGGGAGCATGCTGAGTGTTCAGACGGCCTGGGCAGGACTGGAACCTGTAACCCAGGGCCTGCCAGAAGACAGCTCTGTCATCTCACATGCAAAGTGTTGATGTGAAATATTTTTTTTGGTAGGGATAGGAGGAAGAACTTTACTGCCGTGATGAAATCGTAAAACCACAGAGCTGTTATTCAGCGTTGGTACTTGTATCATTATCATCTTAAAACTGGAGATAATACCCTAAATGACAGTGAATCTCATGTCTGGCTCATAATGTAGCAATAACCTTCTCTGAGCTTCACCAGGCCTCATTCATTTTCATTTTTAATGAATAGGATTGCATAAACAGAACAAGGAGGTTAACTCTATTGTGCCTGGTTTGCTCTTTCCGCAGCACAAAGCCCAGGTAGAAGCCATGGCCTTGGACTTGGCCTCACTGCGCAGTGTCAAGGAGTTTGCCCAGGCCTTCAAAGCCAAGAACCTGTAAGTGACTGTCGGAACAGGCGCTCGCTCCCTTTAGCAGCTGTGGGTAAGATGTCCAGCAGCCTTCATGGGGGACGCACGGTTGTGACTGGTCAGTTCACCTGTCACGTAACATGAAGGCCGATGGCTTAGACAAGGTTTTTGAGTGATGGGGGAGGGGTGAGGGGTTTTTAACCTTGGGCCAATATTCATTTAAGGAAAATCGCAGCAGAGGTGTTTTCACATCAAGGCGAGCTAATTAGAGCAAGAGCCCAAGAGGATGTGACCGGGATGTAATGCCCATCCGTCAGTATTAGCCTCTGCGCTTGCACTCTCCCACCCCCCAGCAAACATCTTGCTTTGCTGTTTTTAATCACCATGCTACCCCCGCTCTGTGATTGCCGAAATTATAATAAAGTCAGCTTTCTGTCTCGGTGTGGTAAATGCCGTCCACGCTTTCGCGATCACATGTCCGTAGTGGGTAGGCAGACCCTCTTCACTCCTTGGCTGGAGGGAAATTAAACTGGGGAAAGGTGCAGGACCAGGTCATGGAGTAATAACAGGCGTGTCGCCTGCATTATTCCGCTCCATCCCCAGTCAATAAGCAAAATAATTATGTGAGACTGATTCCTGGAGAGTAATAAGTCCTTCACAGCCCCCTGGTTAAACCAATTATAGCCCAGACCTGATGAAGTTATGTTTTTTCCTTGACAGGAGAAAATAGAGATGGCATTCACAAACGCTTCCTCTGGTCAAGCTTCTGGAGGGCGCTGGAGAGGCCCACTGGCATCAGGGCTATAGGCAGAGTGATGCCGTTTTTTTCTGGAATGCGACTGATCTAATTGGCCTCTTTGGCTGGGTTCTGCCCCATGTGTTTGGTACAGACCCCAGGGTCGGCTGACGTCTGCGTTGGCACATGGTTGGTGTCCGAAAGACTATAGCTGATGGTACACTCTTCGAATAATTGCATCGTAAACACAAGTTGAAATTCAACAGTTTAATCCATTTTTTTTGTTTTCAGTAGATAATGCTCTTAAGTAACTTAAATAAAGCTTACTCATTGAGACCCTGGAGGAAATCTGGTGCTGTGTTCTTTATGAGTAAAGGGTAGAACTGTAGCCAGTGTAATTTGTTTGGGATTAAATTATGCTAAGCATCAGTAATAATAACCTAATGGACCAGTATGAGGGCGGTAATGGTGGTATCTGAGCTGGCTGTATAGAATCGCGTCTGTGTCTGCGTTTTGTATATCTGCCTAACGCAGGCTGGCAGTGCTTATACAGCTGTGTGCAGTGTGTGCACAGTGAAGGGCTGTGAGCACGTCCTGAAGGTCTTCTCCGAGGGCTTTCCAGGTGTTTGGACAGAATTGTGTGGCAAAGTTTAATGGTGGATGAAAGAGGGGATCCGGATTTTCTTCACATCAGACTCCCATGATTCCCCCTCCTCGTGTTTCATTTCTTGATGCAGATTCTCAGATGTAGAAGATTAAATGTGAAATGTACAGGAGGCAGAGGGAAGACACAGGGAACGTGTTCCAGAGCATGTGTGACTTCCTGTGTTTGTGGGGCAATGCCTTTGCATTTAGTCCCCCAAATCTGCAGCTGGATGCAATGCAGTTTCTGGGCATTTAGGTAAGAGGATGACAGCTAGGGTTACAGTACTTGTGGTGCAGAACCACCAGGGGTGCCTCTACTCGGTGGAGACAGGAAGGGTGCAAATCCCGGCTCCTACAGACATTCGCCCCAGCTCAAACAGACCTTTGCAGTGATGATGTTTTCAACTTGCCCATCTGTACTGTTTAACATTGCTGCTGTACCACCTTCAGCTTGTTGGCAGAGATGCCCTCATAGCGTAATTTTCTGGGTTAAAACAGCCACTGTGGGGTCGGATTTGGGCAGCCGCTCATGGCTTGGTGAACACGTCACGCACCGTATGCTCTCTGAGACGGGAAGCTAAATTAGCTTTAAATCAGACGCGGTACAAAGCTTGTGACAGCTGGCTGCTACTGGGCTCCGGCCTGCCAAAGCTGGCCTACTCGCCTTCATGGAGGCCATTAAAGGGTTCCAGAGGGCACTGTCTGCGGTGTGTCGTCCGGCTGCGACCAAGTTAGCCACGAGCAGAGCGCATGTCACTCAGGCACGGCCATCCGGACAAGAATTCTGCCTCGGTCAGCTCGCGGCCAGCTTGCCGCGCTGTCCATGTTGTCCCTTTGTTTGTATTTCGACCCCCCATGTGTCCTCAGCCAGCCGGGGTCCTTGACTGGCCTTCTGGGAGCCCCCAGGGCTCTGACCGCCATGAGCAAACCCTCCGGCTGGGCACCTTGTGCCAAGACCCTCCTTGGTCAGCAGCCAGCGGCCCGCGCCTCATGGCCTGGAATTGGTAATGAGGGCTCATTTCCCACCCCCCTGATTTAAAACCTCTCTTTGTTTCACTACTGAAAGTGAACCCCGTGCCAAAGGCAGTTGAGGGTTGGAAACTAGATGTACTATACTTTTGTTCGTTGGTAACTTACAGAGGGGGTGGG